AGAGAGAGAGAGAGAGAGAGAGAGATGAGGCGACGGATTTTTTTGTAATAACTTTTGTTTACTTTTGATTACACGCAGTCTCATTCGAAATAACTAAGATATCGACAATATGATCGAAAACAAGAAACGGCGAACAAAGACCGGTACTGTGTAAACCAAGTTCCCCTTTAATTGAAAAATGTACACAATTTCTAAAGAATTCTATCGAGTTGATTTTTAAAGTTTGATTGATTCGGCGTTATTTGTAGCTGTCACTATATTGAAAGCAAAACAGAATGCGTTGCCCTATTCAGTAATGTTAACAAGTTTGCGTTTTTCTTTTGGACTTGTTTTGTTGTGAATTGGGGAACTCAAACAAAATTCGATTATGAATAATTTCCACTTTAGAAAGGAAGCTGCTATATTATAGTGTGTAATGATTTGTTGTAAGAATTCGTCACGTTGAACATAATAAAACGTTATAAAAGTATTTCGCCTGGTTTCTCCTCAATTGCTTTATTTCGTTTTCGACGTTTTCTTTTGTTCATTCTTTTTGTCAACCAATCCGAAGAACGAGCTATGGCAAGGTTTTTCAGATTAATTTTATAGATTGGTTTATTCGTATTGATGGTGTTCAATGCTCCTTCAGGTTAGTTGCTCTCTCTTTCTCTCTGTCTTTCTCTCTCTCTCTCTCTCTCTCTCTCTCTCTCTCTCTCTCTCTCTCTATCTCTCTTTGTCTCGCTCGCTCTCTCTCTCTCTCTTTTTTTTCGCTACGTCTTGCTCTCTGTCTTGGCGTATCTCTCTACCTCTCTCTCTCTCTCTCTCTCTCTCTCTCTCTCTGTCTCTCTCTCTCTGTCTCTCTCTCTCTGTCTCTCTCTCTCTATGTATCTATGTATCTATCTATCTGTGTTACAGGTCAGACATAGTCTTGTACAGAAATTCTGAGGTTATTCCCATGCACGGCAGCAAAAAGGATTTTGAGACATGTCTTCCTAACATCTACACACAAATGCTCGGCCAAAGTGTGTGTCTGTCTGGAGTGTTTCATCAGGATGATTCCCCTCATCCATCAGAACTCTTCTTCTTGTCCAGCTTTTACAGAATGAAAGGCATCCTTCGTCTTCAAGATTTGTAAGCGATTTTATGTTTGAACTTATGGATCTGATGAATTAATTAATTTTTTTTTATAATTAAGACTCTTGATGGATATTTTCTTGACTTTGATATCTTCATATTTCATGAAAGTGTAAAAGTTGTAACACTTTCAAAAAGCAACTTAAATGTGCACTGTCAATATGTGAATGCTTAGGTAATTTATTGGGGGGGGTGCAGGCAGTTAAGGATTATTTTGAGTACTTGCAATGATCTAATGCTGCTGTTGATATTAGTTGATTAACATGTAAGTTTGGTCTTACATACTAATCTCTAGTTGTAACCCTATGTTGAATAAATGGTATGGACAAGTTAAAGGAAAGCAAAAAAACATCTTGTTACCGTGGCAAGTAAAATAAGCAATTCCTCTTGACCTTGCGCTTTACTTGGTGAATAGAAAAGTAAATTAGCAGTTTTCTTATTTTTCTTACTATTGTGACAATTTGTAGCTTGTACTTAACCCTATCTGTACACCCTGGGATCATTTTGTACCCCCGGGGTTACATTCTTCACATTTTAGAATACTTCTAGTGTGAAGATCTCTTTGAAACTTTCAGTATTTCTCCAGAATTCATTTTGACAGACTGCTATGCAAAGCATACGGATCAGATTGACAAGTAAATTTCCTCTTTGGAAAGTGGTGGCTCAGAGTTCTCCACGTCGTATGGATAAGATAGAAAAAAACAATGTACGGATAGGGTTAATGTATAAGTCTTTTGACAACTTTTGTGAAGGAGAAGTTCTTCTTTTACTGAACACTGCTTTTTCTTTCTTGCAGGATGCTGGACAGATTCCTGTTGAGATTAACGCATAAAAATATAAAATCTGCGGAAACAGCTAAGTGTGCAGGTTCTCTCACAAAGATGCACTTTGAGGGCAAAGGTGGGCTATGTCCTGCAGAAGGATTTAATGATATTATGTATACTTTGTTTTACAGAGTTCAGTTTGCTTAAATTCTTTTTAAAAATCAAAGAGATGTTTGTCACATGTAGTTCGAAGATACTTTTGGTGGTTGCGCTGCTTTTCTGTTTTTATATTATTTCAATAATTTTACTGTTTTGGACAGCTTACTACAGTTGTTTTGGGGTTTAAAAAAAATGTGTTGTGAAAGGGGTGGGGGGGGGGCATTCACTTCCTAATACCCTAAACAAATTGATGAATAAACTCTGTTGTTTTTTTTTTATTGGCAGGTTTTGAATTGTCCAGAACTGTTGATTTCAATGTTTCCATGGATGAGACGAAAAACTCTCTTGTTATTTCGGGAAGTATTCCAGAAGCTTCGCTGCACTACCATATGGAACGGACATCTCTTTCAGTGCCAGGGATTTCTCTGAAGAAAATTTGTTCTAGGATCACACAGAATGGAAAATTACTCAGTTCTTTCATCTTTGAGGTATGCAAGTGTATAATGTATTGCTCAACTATATATGGTCAGTTTTAAGGACAAGTGGGCTAACCCAGATTTCGGTGGTTTCCAAAAATCTTAACCTACACCAAAAGTGGGCATTGTCCTACCTATAGGAGAAGTTTGGCTTTGGTGTTGTGTATATTTGTTTGGTTATAGAGAAAACATTTCTTGTCTTTTAAAGAAACTGATCAAGGGTCAAAAACTTTACCTTAGATTTTCTCAAAACTGCATTTTTCGGGATAGCCCCCTTGTGCTTAAAAGCGAGCATACATCATGTATGGACATTTTTGCAGTTACTGATTTCTTGCATATCTATTGCCATTGTTACACATTTGTGTTTACCCTGGCGTCTCTGGTGTAGGGATCAGGTGCTTTGCCATTGCATACAGAAGACCTGAGATTGATTGCATTGTAGGGAAAACTTTTACTGAGTATCTTGAGCCTACGTTGGCCCCGACAGGCAGGGTTGAAACCCGCCCCCTAAATAATCTAAATTATGTTAATGGGCATTTAAAAAACCTATATTAGGTGAAAAAAAATGTGAATACCCTTTCTGATTATTATGCAATCTATCTTTTGAAAAGGCTAAAGTTATATTGTGGGAAGTCAAGAAAAAAATTAATGTGCTTTCAAGTTTCAATATTCAAGGAAAAATACTGTACAACTCAGAACTTATCTTAAGCTTGAACAAAACAAAATTCTTTGAGTATATATGTGTTATTGATGTCTTTTAAGACTGCTTAGTGTAAGACCTTGTCATATATGTCACTTTTCAATGTGGTGTATGGTGGAGACGTAAACCAAGCAGTCTATTTGCTTTAATATTCTGGCTCAGCGATATCAATATTGCTTTAGATTTTACATGAGAAAAGAGCAATTCTTCAGAATAACTAAATGGTGACTTGTGAAATATGCTTGAATTCTGTTGAACTTATTTGTTTTCCTCAGTGTTCACCATTACAGCATTACAACATGAAAGAGATTTTGTTATTCACTTATGAGTAAAACTGTCTGATTGGGGGGAAAAATGAAATAGATTCATTCCGTTGTCCCAAGGCAGAGCAACATATCTGATGAAATTGCGTTTTCAGGGTTTATTGGATTGTTTACCCTAGTCTTGCCCATATATCCTTCTTGTGTTAAAATCAGGATGATGCATCTACGTTCAAAATAGCTATTTTCAAAGTGATAAAGTACTAAGTGGCTGATATGGGTAGTTGGGCCCTAATTGTCTATCAAGAATCTTTTGCATTTTTCTCAAAATTATGAAATATGCTGTCATGTTGCTCTGCCTTTGAATGGCAGCATACATGGTACAGCAGAAAGGCAACATTAGTTGGAAAGTCATGTGGAAAAGCTACAGATGACTGAACTTGTCTTTGTAAAAAATATCTGGTGAAATATTCAAGTATTTGAACCATGTGTTATTTTTCCCCTTCAGAGAAAGGCCAGTGAAAGAAATGAATCGACAGAGTTGCCTGTTGAGACAATGGAAGGAAAAGAAAAACTTCTTCATGTCAACGTATCGCTTGGCGCTCTTTCTGTGGACTTTTCATGTTCAGAACAAATGCCACACAAATATTACCAGGCTGTTGATGTTTTTTTCAAGTACTACTGGTAATGCTGCCCTCCCTCTCCTCACTACTACTGTTTAGAGGAATGTACTTAATAATTTATCACAATGTTCTTATTGATGAATAAAGCAGTCCAAAATAAGCTAAACAGCCTTACCCAATAAGTGACATATTTCTGTTGCATGAAATTCCTTTGCATAAATCAGAGTATTGTTGATAGGTATTAGTGAAAAGTGTACTGGTATAAATTTTAAAGTATTTTTAAAATGTAAAGAAGTTTTTGAAACTATTCCCAGGGCACGAATGCTCCACTTTCTTGTTCAGTTACCCCATCAATTTTATTTGTTCCACCCTCTTCCCATTAAAATGTTCTGCTCCATATCGCTACTGCATCTCTTCAGCCCTAAGGATACAGTTCATGAATATTGATGACATATTTTAGACCCCTTTTTTATGGCTGCAATTCTTTCTCATGTCAATTAAGGGACAAACTCCACAAGCTGTAAATCCATGATTATGTGGACATTGGCTGCTTCGATATTCTGTTTTTAGGAAGTTGTTGAGAAGTTGCAATAGCAAGGTGTCAACTTTTAGCTTTCTTCTGTGTGGTGATTTTAAGAATAGAAGATATGTAATTTGCATTAGTTTAAAACGCATTTTATGAAGCAAATGATCAGCATTGCTGTCTAGAAACTAGAAGTCAAGTCATTCTAATGAAATGATATACCAATTTGTTATCGGAGTAGATAAATGCTCCTGGTGTTGGCCATTTTTAGTTCATGCTTTTTATTTTGCTTTGTGTCACATCAGAGTAGAGACCTGACCGGCTAATCCAATTAATTTATAGCTTCAAAAACTTCTAGGCATTTCAAAGTTTGTGTCCATGATCTTTCATATTTAAAGTGGCGGGCTTAGGTTTTGTTCTTTGCCATACATAATCCAGATGTTAATATTTCCTGTCCTGCTGAACTTTGATTTGGTTTGACTAGTTAATTCAGTGCACAGGAAACTGTATAATCAAGGGCATTTTAAAAATATAATTATCTAAAGTATGATACACATACTATTTTACAAATTATATTTTGTTTTTTTCTTAGTGAACCACAATTAGGATTGTTGTACGCCTTGCACCCTCGTCCTGAGCTCGCTGCTGCTGAAGGTCATCTGTCCACATTCTCTTTTCACAAACAGACCAACTACTCTGAAACACCAATGACAGAGATTTGGAAACAGTTTATGAGGACCTATGCGTATGCTCCAGGTAACCGCAGCTCTTCAGACTTGTTTTTTTGTTTGTTTGTTGTGGTGAGGTATTTTACTGCGCTCGCAACTGCGTAAGGTCATATAAGCGCCCGGGACACATTAAACATTTTTAATTTGGTAGGAATTAATTTTGAATTTTGCTCAGGTGGTGGCCGAAGCCTATTTTTATCGATTTTGGGCCATCAAGGGATTTTTAGCATGCGCAACTTGCTCACGAGATCTTATCCGAGAAGGCTAGGTGTTAGATCTTACCTACCATAACATCAGGGGTGTGGCTGACAGACAGCAGTAAAAAGGAGTCAAGGAGGAGCAGTAGAAAGGCTGCAGAAAGAGTAAAAAGCCCAGAGGAGGGGTCAAAGGGGAGGGTGAAGGGGCAGAAATTCTGGCAAAAAAAGATTAGAGAGCAGGAAAGGAGGTGAAAGGAGAACACTTTAGAGAAGAAAATTTTCCGCCACTGTCAGGTTTCACACCCAGGACCTATTGAATGAGAGGCAAAAACCGTAGCCTCTTGACCCTGAGAGCCCCCCCCCCGTTCTCCTTTCTCCTCGAGCAGCTCTTAAAGGAAAGAAAACATAAAGCTGCTGTATTTAGAGCCTCAAACATGGCACACAAAACATACCCTCAAGTAGTGTCTTTTTAAGGAAAAATTTGACTGCTCTTTGATAGTGTCTTCCCACTTCTATTGTCAGTGACACCTCATTCTTCATTTTTTGGTACAATTTTCTGGCTTAAAATATTGTGTATGTGATTGCGATGTAACTAAGATGCAGAAGTCATTCATTTGAATTTTCAATTTTTAGCGTGATCATCCATATGAATTTCTACCTTTGAAAAACAATTGCACCTGCACTTAGATGGGCATAAAGTGCATAATTTCTGCAAAAGGTAATAAGCTTTAATACTTTCTGTTGTCTTTCAAATGCCATGATTTCTTGTCAATTCTTAAAGGAATTAGCTAATAATTTCTCAAGTAACACACAAGTACTTTTACATCAGCACTCAATAGATTTTCTTCAGTTAAAAGCAGAAAAACTTTCCTTCATTTCATAATTGCTTTGCCTCCACAGGTCACAACATTACCACAGACACGGCTTTGATTGCTGATCTGAAAGCTGCTGACAGAGTCACTGACATCTACTGGATCCAGGATGGAAATTTGACGGTAGCTTTTTAGGTTTCATCATTTTCCTTGTGCCTGTAAAATTTTGTGTAGGAACTTTTATACATTTTGTTAAGAAAATCTCCTATGATATTTACATGAATGCATGGAAAACAGCTTTGTACTGAAATGTTTTGGGTTGTTTTTTTTACGGGTAGAGAGACATCTTACAGATTTTACACATTTATGACACAGTGTCAAGTATAAATGAAATAATTCAGAGATTCCGTCAATGTCACATGTACAAAAACATCAGCACAGGCACTATTACAAATATATGCCTTTGTGGGTCACTACAGGATATTTGCTGCTGGGTGAGAACAGAAAAAAAAGGTACCTTTCTGGAAGACACAATGCCAGTGGAAACCAATTGGCAGTTCAATTTTGTTCTGTTTCTAGGGGTTGAACACCCTGTTCTCAATCAGCATGTTGATAATCATTTGAGAAGTGAGGTACATTGCGCTTGAAAAGTAAGACAGGTTTTATAAATAAAAATAAATTGCTCATTGGTTGAGGAACTTTCACTTGACTACCCTGAATGTTGCAAAAGAACAAAGAGATAGAAGAAACATATTTTGAGTTTCTGTCTATTGCATACATGAAAGACTTTGCTCTTCCAAAACATATTCTGAATGTGGGTGTCATATTAATCGTTAAAATACAAATCTCCAAAAATTAAATGATATGCTTTTTCTCTAGGATGAGATCCATATGGATGCCCACGTTCGCAATCGGTCAGATGCCAGACTGTTCTTGTTTGACTGGACCATGCATCTAGAGAACAAACAAAAATTCACCATTGACTTGGGTGGTGAAGCCAGTGGACCCAGAGCTATGCCTTTAGCAGATTTGACCCTACATTCAAATGTCACTTTCAGAGCAGATGAGGAGGTCTTACTACAGGTAAGCTGTTAAATTTTTTGCCCTCTCGAAATCTTCTGATGAGTTGTTTATAGAAGCAAATATTGTCTAAATAAGGGCCAGTAAGCCCAGTGAAAAAAACCCACTATTTGATCATGAAAATATGTTTTTCTTCTTTTTTAATTGCTCCTCTCTGTTTAATACCTTTCTTTTTTGTTCTTTGTTTTTTTGTTTGTTTTGATATTCTGGGTGTTGACTGTAAATAAGTCGTGATGGTTTATTTGTTACATTGTCATATTGTCCATAATGGTAAGGACTTGGAATGAGCTCATTTGTCAACAGATATGATGAGCAAATCTGTGTAAATTCACACAGTGCAAAAAAGATCTAGTTTTAGCTGATGTTGAATTGATCGCTATCTACTCCAGTTCCATCCTGCCATAGTCTACCTAAATGTATCAACAACAGACTTTGCAAACACTCTGTTCTCTGCTGCAGACCAGCTTGGGAAAATAACTACTTAAAATTTCAAAGGACATTATGTTCAAGTGACTTTTATGACATTGGCAATGGAATAAAGTGTAACTCTATTCATGATAATTTACTCTCTTTGCATCGTGACATTGCGTATAACATGTAGGGTGTAAAAACATTCATGATAAGCGCTTATAGCATTTTTGTTTCTTCTCTTTTGATGTGAATATCTCAGAGGCCTAAGCGATCCGTATTATCATCCTTTGGAAAACTGGAGCATTCTTTCTCGGAGAAAGCGTCATCAATGTACCAGTCTGCCAAGGTAATCTTTGGCTTGTATCAATCAATGTGTGTAAGTTGATAACAGTAGATGGTAGTAAAAACCTCTACCCATATTTAGCCAATTGAAGCCCCTAGACTCCTCTTCCTTAAACCTATAAAGCTTTATAGGGGCAGGAAGGGTGTTCTGTAAAACTAGCAACAGTCGGATTGCAGTAAATTTAGAAGGCAGCTTTATTCCAGTGGGAGAAAATAAATACTGTGAAAAAAATGTTTAATACTACAAATGTTCGCAAGGCATTTTCAAGTTTTTGTGTGGAATTTACCATATGTTGATCATATTCTAATTCTAAAAGTATCATAGAATTACTTTGAATTACTTGGATCCAGAGCTAGAATCATAACAGGTGGCACATGTCCATAGCTGCTCATCTCTCCTTTCCAGAGTCCACCCCAGAGTCTTCCTGCTTATTGTCTCCATGAGGAGCTGGTTTGAGAAACGCCTGACCACTCCTCGGAGCAAACTTTTTTTCCCTGTGCCCTGCGCACACTTTTCTTTTATTGTGCTGAGTGTGTTGGACTCTGTCTCCTCTTGGCCGTGAAGGCTCTCCTTGCATCTGGCGATCACCATTGGTGGGTCGAGCATGATTCGGCCATTGGGTGCTGCTTTGTCGGCAAGTTCATCACCATGCTCATTTTCATGCACCCCGGCGTGACCTAAAAGTATCATAGAGGGTAAAATGAGAGTAACTTGAGAAAAGTACAGCGGAGCAGCAGAATTATAGTCTTGATATAAACACTTCTGTATTGACTACAAAAGAATTTGACTCAATTTTTTTCTGGAAAGCTGATGAAATATGTTGCTTCTCACTGTTGTTTTTTTAAATGATGTATTCTAATACTGTACTTTTGACTTGTTTCGATATGCTTGCAGTTGAGGTTGCTCACTTTCCTGAGTCGAAAGTCAAGCGACTCCTCTCTTGTTCCAAATAGCATAGTAGACTCTGATGAACAGACAGGGCTGTTGTTGAACCAAACAGTAAGTAAACACTTTTGTGTGTTATTAAAATTTATCATCTTGAAGTGGTTCGAAACAGTTACTTTTTTTTTTTTGCATTTCAAAAAATTTCTTGGGAAATAAGTTTTACAGCCACACAATGACATGTACAGGTTTTCTTCTAAACTGTTTTTTATTTTTATTTTCGATTATGTTATTTTATTTTTTTTATTGAATGAGAAAACTGTACCAGATTAAGTTACTTGCCAATCCAAAACGGCCTCGACTTATCATAAAACAAATACGAGAAATAAGTGAGATATTAAAATGTTTCTATTTACTAAGTTGAAGTACCGCCTGCTAAGAAGGTTCTGAAATAAGCAAAATATGAATCACAAGCCATGTTGGAAAATGTACACTTCAAATTATCATTGAAGAGTGTGAGTGAAAATGTATAAACTGAAGGAGGTCCTTTTCGTACTACAGGAAGGAGATGTTGTCTTTTGGAAACAGCCTTATTGGAACTTGAAAACGGATGCCTCAATCAAGATGATTCCTCACTTTGCGGATACACCTCAAGGAAGGAAGAACGTTGGGGCAGAGTTACAGTGGTTTTTGAACAGCTCTTTACCTCACACGGAGACTCAACTGCTCTCCTTTGAAGGCGCCATATTCAATGGACAAATGTAGGAATATCTTCACATACTTAGTATTTTTCTTGTTTTGTTCATTTACTGAGCTACAATAGTTTCAGATTTATTGTTTGTTTCTGTGAATTCTTGTCATCTGTGTGAATTTCTTTCTTACAGCGTAGATTACTGCTCCATATCTTTATGGTGAGCTTATTGTATTTATAGTTTGTCAACAAGAGATTTCAGCTACAATTAATTGCACTATTTGGACTGTTCTTAAGTTTATAATAGCTCATATCTCGATAGAGAAATAAGACTTTTAAAATTTGATCTTTAGGACCATTGATAAACTGGTTAAATTGCGAGGAGCACTTGATAAGTATAAGCTCATAGTGTTGGAATCTGGGTTTTTTTCCAGGAAAAAGATGAAGATGTACGTCGATGACCGTATCCATGACTGGACATTAAATGCATCTGCAGAGCATTACAGCACAAAGGAAGTATTCCATCATCACCACAACTGGTCTTTGGTGGAGACAACCAATCACAGACTTGATCGCTCTTTCAATATCCGTGTAGAACTGGTGCACTTCAAAAGTTTTGATTATGATCTGACGCTAAAATCTCCACGGACAAACGTGACTCACTACATTCATTATGTGAAGAGTTCCCCCATAGAGCATCATGTCCGTGCTCATGCTCGTCTACATTCTGTCTCTCCGGAATTTGATCTCCTCTATTACGGTAAGTTCTACAACAGACTAAGGGTGCCTGAAGATTGGGATGTGGGGTTAACTTGAGACAGCCTTTAGCGTTTTGTCCTGGTGAGGGATTTGAATCATTTTCTCAGCTTTGAGCTCGAGAAATGGAAGTTGGATAAGCTATGGCTTCACTAGTCTTTTGATCCTTGAAGAGTGGGTGGTTGGCTGGTGCTCAGATGTGGTTTGCTCAATCTTTTCTATCAAATATCTATCTCCCTATATCTCCTTCTTTTTTGTGTTAGTTTATACTCTAGTAGCACCTTTAGTCTTCAGCAATTACATGACCTAATTGTGTTGCAAGTGCTGTGAAACTTTTACTTAAACAAAAGAAACCCAAGATCCTTGAAGTGGCTTGACTTGCTCTGTTTCATAGTTCTTTCTGATATTGTCCCCATAAACTGTAGGACTGATGTTTATACATACTCAATTATAGATACAGGATTAATCAGTTTTGTGAGACTAGAATGATAGCAGTACAGCAGAAAAAACAAAACGGCCAGCAGCTTGATCCCCTCTGTTATAATGAAGGAATGTACTCAATAAAAAAACCCAAAAAAACTTCTAGGCTGTTATCGTGTGACCAAGAAAAAGTGGAAACATTTGTTGATCATTGTTTGAGAAAATACATTTTTTTTAGCAAGATTATGTTGACCAATTTGTATAATCGAATTTTGTCTGATTTTGAACTTTCCGTAGTTCCAACTTCTGGTGGCTTCATAAGTAATGTTTTAACCCTATCCGTACACTCTGGCGTCATTTTGTACTCCACGAGTTGTATTCTTCACATTTTAGAATAGTTTTAGTATGGATATCTCTTTTCAGTATTTCTCAAAAAATCATTTTGACAGACTGCTATGCAAAGTGTACGGATTGGATTAACTAGTAAATTTCCTCTTTGGAAAATGTTGGGACAGAGTTCCCTACGTCGTTTAGATACGATAGTAAAACATGACGTACGGATAGGGTTGAAATTTTGAGAATAAGCTGTTGTTGCCACAAAAACATTCTACCAAACCTAACAAACATACTAGTGTCAGTGCTCTGTGTACAGTGCACTCAGATGGCCTTAAGTTACCTTTACCCTTCTGGCTCCTCTTCATGTTTCTGAGAAGGAGGTTCAGTCTGTCTTGTAACATTCAAATTTACTTTTCATCAGGGCACTCTTTGAAAGGGTGCCACTTTTCTTTTTATGGAAGGATACGCATTAATTCCTTTCCCTGGAAAGGAAAAGAGTTTCATGATATTCTCTCATTCTACAAGGGTTCTGAATGAAGTTAAAATACACTTTCTTATTTTTCTTATTATTGGCAATTAAGTGAACCTGATATTTTATAATGTTTTATTTTTTTAAGCTTGCTAATGTTATTGGAGCTGATTCTCCTTTCCCTGTATATGGATAGCAAAACTTTGCAACACGTGTTAAATAATATCATCTTATTTATCTTATACAATGTAATAGAAATAGAGAATGGTTTCCAGTGGGATAACCAGCTCCCTTTCTTTAAAAATTCTTTTGATGATCATTTCTTTTCTGTCTTTTCATTTTAATATCTAAGCAGAAAATAATATATGTGTATGGTTAACGGTTTACTTTGACAATTTTTGAAAGACATGCACAATTTTAGAAAATTACATTCTTCTTGTAATCACTTTAACAAGTTTAAAAAAAAGAAATTTAATAATGCCTAAGTAAAGGATACAACTTTTGAGATCATTTCCTTTTCTTTGTTACTATTATTAGAGTCCAGTGATGTGAACAAAGGGGATATAACAACCCAAGTGAACATGACAAGTACAGCCCTTGACTTCAAGTTAGATTTGGAGAAAAAGAGAAGTGAGGAAGGAATCCAAGCGTCCAGCGATTTTCAAGTGGATAACCATGTTAGTGGGGATTTCCCCCCCCCCCCCTTTTTTTTTACACCTTACTTCACGGTATATTTGATATATTCTGTTATATCTCTCTGTTCAGTTTGCTGTCAGTTGTCTTTTAGTTAGACATAAGACTCCCCCCCCCCCCCCCCCCCCCCCCCGGGGTGGTGCTACTGACTGATGTGTCTTTACGCTAGGCCATTCCCAAAGGGGGGACGGGACGTTAACTTGTTCTTATGCGCAGTAGAATTGTAAATGAGTTGACTCAATAATGTCATGCTCATAACTGTGCCTGAACTGTAACAGGGAACAGCTGCTTTTTCTTTCCTTATCCTTACTATTGTTCTTTTCCCTCTACTTCTTTTGTATGTTTGTCCCACTATTTCCGGGGTGCCTTGATAGTTGAAGCAGACTTTGTGCTGTTGAAGCTAGAGAAGTGAGCAGAGTAAGGACTTCTCTGTTGACATTCTCCCCTTGGTGCTCATATGACCTTATGCAGTTGGGAACACCAAAAAAACCCCCAAGACATGAGACTAATGGTCATGAAAATTTGGGTTTAGGGTTTCAGAGCTCAACTCAGTCTGAAGTTGTGTGCTTGGAGAAGACCCTTTGCGAAGCGTGCATACAAAATGAGTAACTTCTCCTATTCAAGCTTCATGGAAATAGATACGTCACGTTTATAGGTGAAGTTTTTACAATTTACAAGTATGGAATAACATAAGACGGGTTATAGTTAAAGAATATGGCATCAATAGAAAATATACAAATTTGACCCTAGCGTCGATTTTTGGCCAATATCTCCATTTGTGGATTGCAAGAAGTAACTTATTTTGTTTGCACGCCTCACCTTTACTTACACAAACTTTCCCATTTGGCTTAGTCTTTAGAGGAGGGCGTTAAATACCTGACAAGAGTGAAACTTGAGCTTGACTCAGGTTAAATTGTAATGCCTTCCACAGATTTATTTTCTGAAACAGAAATATAAAATAAGCCTTATCCGAGAAGGCTAAGCATTTGATCTTACCTACCCAAAGATCAGGGGGTGTAGCTGAAAGACAGCATTAAGAAGGATCCAGGAGCTGCTGTAGAAAAAATCAGGAGTAAGGGAAAGAGGAGCACAGGAATGCCTCAGGGTTGGGGAAGGGGGAAGTGAAGGTAACAGCAGATGACAGAACGGGGCTAGAGAACAGGAAAGGGTATTTCAACATGTTGGAGAACAGAATGTTTTTGTCACTGTCAGGTTTTGATTCCAGGATCTTTTGAATGGGAAGAGACCTCTAGATTGTGAGAGCCCCTACCCAATTGTACATTAAAATTTAAATGTTTTAGTGTTTCTCCTCAAACATTTTTTCCTTTGTTCTTCATCTCTTTTTAAGATGTCAGTGCTGGCTGGAAAGAGAGGCTTGCTGACCACTTTAACCCTTGCCAAAAAAAGACCGCCCCAGTGCAGATGGACATATACGGCTACTGATGGCTCTAAGACAAGGTTGCAAGCTCAGATGATGGGACCCAAAAGAATAGAATTCGATCTTCAGCCCATTCAGGCAAGGACAATTCTCGGGTCTTGTACTAAAATCAGACTGACAACAATATTAAAGCTACTAATATAGTGTCTTGAAGTTATGAAAATGTTTTTTTTCTTTTTGTTTGAGACAAGCTAAGCGCCTGCATCCAATGTGGGACATGTTTGGGAGCACATGTTGGTGTATGCTTTTGTGTGGGCGTGTGTGTATGTGTATGTGTGTGTGTGTGTGTGTCTCTCTCTCTGTGTGTGTGTGTGTGTGTGTGTGTGTGTGTGTGTGTGTGTGTGTGTGTGTGAGAGAATATGAGGAATCAGGCACACAATGTGATGCATACTTTACAACATTATGTTAAAACAAAAGTATTGTACAGTGATGAGAGCTGTATCTGTAGGGGAGAGGGCACTCTAGAAATGATCTGCTTTATTACTGTTATTATCATTATCATCAGCATCATCATCATCATCATCATCATCATCGTCATCCTCATTATCATCATCATTATTATTATTATTATTATTATTATTATTATTATTATTATTATTATTATTATTATTGTTAGTATTATTATCAGTAAGAAGAAGAAAAAAGCCCTGTTCATACACAGTGCATAAATTGAGTCAAAACTTTTTAAATTGTCTATTTTACAATTGTAAATTTTAACTCAATCAGACACATTGTAAAGACAAAAGTATATACAGGTGATGTGTCCAATTCTTTTCTTTTCTTTAAAAAAAAAACTTTTCTGAGGTTATACTTTATTTCACAGTTAATATTATCATTATTATTGCTCTTACATAGAAAATTTAGAGATTTAAGTGGTAATCTGCTTTATGTTGTAGTGTCTTTGTTTCAACTTCTTTCAAGATGTCATTGAGTCACTCATTCATCCTATGTCACCTCTAAAATTTTTGTCCAATTTCTACTAAAGTGTCTTTAGGCCATTCCCAAAGGGGGTCATTAACTTGTTCTTTCTTATGCACAGTAGAATTGTAAATGGGCTGATTCACCAATGTCATGCTCATAAATGTGCCTGAACTGCAACAGGGAACTGTTGCTTTTTCTTTCCTAATCTTTACTATCGTCATTTTTCCTCAACTTCTTTTGTATGTTTGTCACACTCTTTCCCTGCTATTTCCGGGGTGCCTTGATAGTTGAAGCAAACTTTGTGCTGTGAAGCTAGAGAGGTGAGCAGAGTAAGCCCAATTCCCTGTAAGGACTTCTGTTACCATCCACCCCTTGACGCTCATATGACCTTATGCAATTGCGAGTGCCGTAAAACTTCTACTAAAAAAACAAAAAAACCCCGAAAATTAAAGTCTGATATTTATTCTTCGCTGGGTATAATTTTGTCTGACAGGACACTGAAGAAGCAGAGACAGGTCAGGGCAGTGATAAAATTTCATGGAATGTGGAACTCGTTGAGCCAACTCGCATACAGCACACGGTGTATATTTCTCCAAGAATGCTACACGCTGCTCGATATGCAGGAGGTATTCTGAATGCTGGCATGGCCAAAGTTGTTCGTCATGCTGGGAAGATTGTGGCTCACAACATCAAGGCTGACATCAAAGACAGGATTGCACCTTTTACGAATCAAGTATGGTTGTGAATCTATAAGATCCCTTTTAAAAATTTGTTCTCATTACCATATATAATATGTTAATTAATTATAATTGAAGCAGTCTTACTACATCGTTTCAAAACCAGTTGCATAGAGAACTCATAATCTGCAGTACTTTCTGTGTAGTCACTATTCATCATAACATAATTTGGATTCCTTTTCTTGCACAGTTGCCAATTTGACACTAGTTTCTAGACAAAAAAACTGAGGGGTTCATTTCCCTTGCACAAAATGTTTCTAAAATTTTCCACTCTTTCTCCTTCAAGTTCAGCCTTAAAGTCGAACATTTGTTTTCATTTTTTAAAGATTTATATTATGTTGAGATTGCCAATATGTTTCTTTATATTTATTTTAAATTTGACTTTCTACCAGAGATACAGGCACTGGTTCCAAGTACATGACCAAGTTTGCAGAAACTGTTGTTAAGCTTACTTCTGTAGAAATTCATGATTTAACATTTTTATCGGGTCAGAACGCATTCATTGTCAAGTCAAGACTATATGTTAGGCAGCGTGGTGGAATCAGGCTCTCGTCAAAATAATCAAAATGAAGAAACTTGCATTTTTCAGCAGGTTCATGAATTTTTATCAAATTTTTGTTTTTTGGCTCCACACCTTTCATGCCCCTTAAAGAACTCATTTCTGTGTGGATTTTTCAGAAAAACGTGGATCAAAGGCACAAAAAATGTAAATTTTCATTTACCACGGACTTTTAAGCTAAGGAAATAACTAATCTTTGGGTGCCATTTTCTCACAAATTTTACCTCTGAAAACAGGTGACCCCCACCTCCTTCTTTCGCAAATATCTCGACTTATATTCAAGATAAATGGATATATTTTTCATCCCAATAGAGACAAGTGAACAAGCTTTAAGATGATACCAATAACTCTACATGCCCAAAAATTTACGAGAGCCTAATTCCACCATGCTGCCTCACATATTTATTCATAGTGCTCTTAATCAGTTGCAAAAAAAGTGATTTACACATAAAACAAATTAAACTGACTAGGATTTGTAACTCTCGTTTCTTTTCAGAGCCTGGATGGATTGTTGAAAACTCGTCTTGGTCAAGCTATGCGGGTGAATCCAGAAAGTAGGAAAGTCAAACTCTACAAACTTTCACTTGGGGCACTGCAATCTGTAGACGAATTGTCACGAAAACAATTGACAGGTATAAATGACACAGCATTGTTTTATTTTGTGTACTCTTCTTCTAAAAAAACAAGTAGTTTTACATAATGCAAAAATGTGTCAGTGGAATGTCGAAGGTCTGCTCAGCATTCGAAATGCCAATCTATGTAGTGTAGTGCAGGTGGTGTTTCGGAACCTAAAAATTTTTAAATTTGTGAGGCAGTGTGGTGAAATCAGACGCTCGTCAAAATAACGATATTGAAGAAACTGGCATTTTTCTGCCAGTTTGGCAATTTTTATTGAATTTCTGGTTTTTGGCTTAACACCATTGTTGTCCAATTATGAACACATTTCTGAGTGGATTTTTACTGAAAAACGTTAATTAAAGGCTCAGATAGTATCAGTTTTCAGTTTCCACAGACTATTAAGCTATGGAATTAATAACCAGACTTTGACGGCCATTTTCTCATTATTTCTACTTTTGAAACCACACGACCCCACCTTCTCCGATCTTAAATATCTCGACTTCTTTTCAAGATAGATGGGCATTTTTCCCCCTATAGCAAGACAACTGAACAAGCTTTGCCAATAACTCCAAATGCCCAAAAATTGACTAGCCCCTGATAGCACCACATCGTGACACATTTAGTAAAACAATGAATACAAAAACAATAGCAACACTGAATCGATAACAGTAAAACAATGAATTAATAAGCATAATGAGTTAATGGACAAACCAACTACCAGCTACAACACTAAATATTTCTGATAATATATGTAGGCCTATATAGATGTGGCCTTGTGGTTCTGTTTTTGAAAATTAGGCTTTCTTTTTTTTCTTTTTTCAGTCCAGGTTTCGAGACAGCTTCACATTGATCAGGCAATGGCATATGCTGTTGAGAAAAAAAGTGAGATGGTCAGCGACTGGATCCAGCATCCTCCATTTTTTGTCAGGCAGTTCATGAAGGCCCATGTGTTCCCAGTCTTGTACCAAACTATGAAAACAGGAACACATGTATTTTCCACTCCGATTCCTGTTGTCATGTCTGGCTTTAATGTAAGTATTACCGTTGATGATTACGTATTTTGTTTTATTCTTTTTATGCACATGTTGAAAGGGGTGATGTCTTCATTACTGTTCTTTATCTAACAGTCTTTACAATATTCACAACTAGTACATACTATTAAATAACTTTAGAATTGAAAAGAGAAAGCTAGTGTATCAGGGAATCAACAACAACATTATTGACTAGAACCAATATTTAGAATAAAGTCCACAAAGCACCTGATTAGTATCAAGGATACTGGGTTTTTAATTTTGTCTCAGGTGAAACGTTCAAATTAATTTTCTTCTAACTCATTGTGTTGTAATGGCTGCCTTGGACAAACTGCTTTGCTTTGGGGCTGAAAATTCAGTATTGGACACATCCATCTTCAAACAAATTCTCACCTGCTCCCTTTCAGATCCGAGGCACACACACCCACTGTTGATACACATTAACTTAATGATCTCTTTAAAAAACCTGTAGTATATATGGTCGCTTTTAAGGACAAGCGGGCTAACCCAGATTTCGGGGGTTTCCTGAAATCTTGACCGACACCAAAAGTGGGCATTGTTCTACCTATAATAGAAGTTTGGTTTCACTGGTGTGTATATTTATTCGGTTATAGAGAAAACTCTCCCTGTCTTTTCAAGAAACTGAACAAGGGGCAAAAACTTTACCTTAGATTTTCTCGAAACAGCATTTTTCGAGATAGCCCCCTTGTGCTTAAAAGCGACCATATGGTCGTTTGCATCTTGACAATGTAAAAGCAGTATGCATGATACAGCTTTTCCTGGGTGGTAGTCATAGACCGATTGGTTAGGTGCTTTGCTGTTGTTTGCAGGAGACTTATGTTCGATTCTTGAGTTGGGAGAAATTGTCCCTGACAGACAGGGTCAGAAGCCTGCCTTTTTAAAGACCTTTATTGGGGTGAAGGGGATGTAAAAACACATTAAAAAAAGAAAGAAATGTAAAGCATATAGAGGAAATAGATTGCCCAAGCACTGCTTCTCTCCCTTCAGATCTTAACTTTCTTGATATAGGCAGAACCAAAGAAAAGCATTTGATGCCACAAGTTTGCAGCAGCCTTTCAACATTTATCTCAGATTATAGCATTTAGTGTTTTCCAAGATGTTTGCATATTGAGCTTTGCTAAAATGACAGTTACATTTGACATGGATTTAAATAATTTTTAAAAAATTCCACAGAGATTGCCCCATACCACAGTAATTGAGAAGGAAGCTATAGCAGTGATAAAAAGAAAATTTGCTGGGCTGAAAAGGCCTGGTCAGGACATTGCAGTTATACTGGAGGGTCGACGAATCAAGACATTTGATGGACATGTTTTTGATTTCATTGGTAAATTAACATTTGTTTCTGAAAGTGAAAGTTATATGAGTATCATTCCAGCTGACTTGTTGTATACGAGTTTCTGCATTTTAAATTTAAGATCGATGTGTTAGTTGTTTTCCATAGTGTGGCAGGGTTTTGAAGTCGAGGTTCAAAAAGTTGTTTATTACCATGTGTTCTTTCCAAAAAAACCCTCATGAGTTCACTAGTTCCTTTTGGGGGTCAATTCTTTCTGATCTGATTTGCAGTCGTAATCTCAGTCTCATTGAGGACTGAAAGATTTGCGACATTGCATGCCTCTATCTTTATTAAATCCTTACTAAAATTTTTATGTTTGGAATGGTCTTTTTATTTTTATTGTTTGTAGTTTATATTTGTTGCTGTTTCGATAGTTATTTATTTCTGATTTGTATCTACCTCTATTTTGGGTAATTATTACACCTGTTGGTACCTCTCTTCAGTATCCTGATACTTTGGAATCTTTGACAGTATTGTTTATTTGCCACCAAGGGAAGACACATTATTTATAATCATTTTGAGCGTACTGAAGATCTCTGGCAAAATGTGTGTCACGACGAGGGAGAATCAGGAGCTAGTCAATTTTTTGGGCCTATGGAATTATTGGTATAATCTTAAAGCTTGTTCATTTGTCTTGCTTTTGATGAAAATATACCCATCTATCTTAAATAGAAGTAGACACGTTTTCAGTTGAAGAAATTGGGAGTCGTCTGGTTTCAGAGGTAAGGTTAGTAAGAAATTGGCCATCAAAGTTAGGTGACTTCGAAAGCTTGCGAGTCTTTGGAAACTGCAAATTTTAATCATTTTTCAGTTAAACCCACACAGAAATGTGTTTGTTAAATAGACATGAAGGTGTTGAGCCAAAATTTAAAAAAATAGATTAAAATTGCCAAATGAGCAGGAAAATGACGAGTGCCTGATTCCACCACAATACCTCACATATAATAAATTCATATCATCTATTGTTGGTAGCTTTGCCCTGTTATTAGTGCCCACAAATAAAATGTTAAAGCTTCAATTTTTGCATGACTTGTGAATTTGTATTTTAGCAGTATATCTTTGTGTATCAATTTTTTTTTGACATGCATGACTTGTGAATTTGTATTCAGCAGTATACCTCTGTGTATCAATGATAATTTTGACTCAGAGCAATATTTATGTTTTTCTTTTACAGAGCCTCTAAGGCGTCAGTGCACATATCTTCTTGGAGGGGACTTTAGGCTGGGAAAGTTTGCCTTGACTTACTCCAAGCAAGGACTGACGGCCGTTTCCTCTGATTCAGGAATAACTATTGCTAGAGATGGATCCTTGACTGCTATTGGAGGGAACAAAATTAAGTAAGTAAAGTTTGTTTTTCTCTTTTAAAAGAATATTTTTGATATATTTGCTGAGTCAAACAGGGAAAGCTGGATAAGAAGGAGAGGGGTTAAACAGCGGAGGGCAGATGTAGTAGTAGGAGCTTAATTAATTCTGCTTTATGTTTACTATTGCCAAAGTTTGTACTCATCAATAGTGTCAAGTAGGCTACTTTGTGTCTGATTCTAACTGTGTATTTTTTTTTTTGGTAAGTGTTTTACGGCGCTTGCAACTGCATAAGGTCATAATATGAGCGTGCGGGACACATTAAACTTTTTCAGTTGGTAGGAAATTTTAAATTTTGCCCAGGTGGCGGATGAAGCCTACTCTTATCGATTTTAGACCACCAAGGGATCTTTAACGTGGGCAACTTGCACATGGGCTTTCCAAGATTTTTCGCCCTTATCCGAGAAAGCTAGGTGTAGATCTTTCCTACCAGAAGATCAGGGATGTGGCTGAGAGACAGCAGAAAGAAGTAGCCAAGGAGTAGCAGTAGAAAAGCTGCAGAAAGAGTCGGGAGCCCAGAGGAGAGGTCAAAGGAGGTGAGGGTGTGGAGGCAGAAAGAGGAAAAGAAAGCAGACGACAGAACATTGCTAGAGAGCAGGAAAGGAGGTGAAAGGAGACAATTTTAGAGAAGAAAATTTTTCGGTCGTAACCCGGATTCGAACCCGGGACCTTTGAATGAGAGGCCAACACCTTAATCTCTAGGCCATGAGAGCCCCCTTCTAACTGTGTACCCATTAAATCAAGTCAAACACTTTTTTAGGGGAATAATATAGTTTCTTTTTTATTATCATCCAAAATTGCTCAAATTTTTTGTAGAGTAGGCCAATTCTGGTTATTTATTATATTATCACCAACTGTAATTACACATGTGATAACATAATTTCAGAGAAAAAAGTGTTGAACCTATTGTGACAGATACACTATTGGAGTCTGACACTAATCACATTTTTATCAAAGTTTCTATTAGCTTGGAATATTGAACAAAATTATGAAATAAAACGAATACGCCTGAGAAATAAGTAGGCTACTGTCTGAACTGGACACATTATACGTGCTTTACAAAACTGCTTCAAAACATATTTTGGAAGAGTATCCCTAGGAGCTATGAGAATTAGATATATATATTATTGGCATCACAGTGTTTACCTGTTTTATTTTGATGTTGAGCATTTTAGGGAAATTTTAAGGAAGAGAACAAAAGATTATGCCTATATGAATATATACATATATATATCTCTCCTTGGTAATGCTCAAGAATATTTTTTCCAAATACTTTTACGTTCTTCATACCTTCTGATGTGGTTTGGATCATTCAATAAATCCCTCACAGACATCTGCCGTACTCATCACCTGGCAAGGAACTGTCTGTACATTTGCAAAATGGAGAGCTTCACATGGACATTGTAGATGGACAAGCTAGAGTGACATTTGACTCTGATGGAGACTTTTTCATAGTGGAAATGAACAGGGACCTGAATAACGCTTCTTTGGGACTTTTGGGTAAGTATGCTGAAGATTTTTTACCTAAAAGGTTTCAGAGTTTTTTTTACTATTAGATTCCGATGTTGTAGTGCCGTAGTTTTACAACTTATCTTTTGTGTGGTGTTTTTCTTCATTGCCATTTGTCAAAACAATGTTCTGCTTTTTACTGAATGCTGCCTTTCACTCCCAAACAAGGGTACTTTAAGCTAAGTATTCTCATTAGACATGTTGCCGCGTAGGGTAATTATAATTATTATAATAATAATAACGATAGCATTTATACAGTGCATATCCATGCACTATGGCGTACTCTTTGAGTTTTGAAACTATTATTTATATAAACTTTTTTTTTTCAAAATTGAATCTACAGGCACGAACAATATGGAAAAAGGTGATGATCTGCGTTTGGCAGATGGCTCAATAGCAGATTCAGAGACGACACTTCAGGAGGACTACGAGTTGACGGGACACAAGAAGTGTCAATTGGGAGCTTCAAATAGCTCAGCCTGCACCAGATTTGACTACCCAACATGTATGAGTCTGTCCTCCAAGTGGCCTCAAGCGATTCCCTGCTTTCTGGTTCTGAATCCGCAGCCCTTCATTGTGAGTGAGCACAAAATTTGGATATGTTTTACTTCACTCACCCAGTGATTTACTTTCCTGCCAGTCAGTGTTTTTTTTGCTGATGCAGAATGTGTGGGATTTTTTAAAACTCTCCAGCTCTCATGAACAATTTTGTTTATTCAAATCAATTGGTAGTTGTAATATTGTTTGGTTTGAATGCAAAAATAGTTTTCACAGAGAGAGAGAGAGAGAGAGAGAGAGAGAGAGAGGAGAGGGGGAGGGGGGGGGGGCTATACTTGTTGAATGGTCTCTCTTTGTTCTCCAGTAGATTTTAACTGAAGAGTGACTTTTACTGAAAAGAAACCAGAACTGTCTAAATCCTGATGTGTTTTGTAACTGTTACTTTGTTTATTGTTTTATTTATTTCACAATAGTTCTGTTTCTTTTGATCAGTCTGCTCCATGAGTTCTTTTTTCTTTCCAACTCACTCTGAGGAAATTTTTGTAAGCCTTTCATGTTCAATCAAAATGTCCTTTTGAAGTTTGGCTATACTGGCCTTCATGAACCTATGTTAATGTAAAAATAATCCTGAACTTTTGACCGGCTTCATGTGATTAGGAAAGTAAAACATATTCAGTTTTTATAGTCTTGAGTTTGTATTTTTCTAATTTTCTTGGAGTCGAATCTGTCTCAGTAAACATTTTGCTCTGTGTCAATTTTTTATGAGATTACTCATGACTCTTTTATTTGTTTCTGTTTACTTTTACCTCTTGTAGCTTCAGTGTCAGCAGGATGAGTGTCAAGGTCGCTCTGGTTGTAGGGCTGTCAAAGCTTACCTGACTGCCTGCCGTCACAGTGGCGTCACCGTGGAGACTCCAAAGCCTTGCGGTAGGTGGCGCCCCCCCCCCCCATCCCCTAAATTGCTGAGATCTTTGATCGTTTTTGCTGGGATAGAAGTTAACCCATCTTGGTACTAATGCACAGTAGAGTTCGCTCAAATTGAACATGGTTTATCAGAAAACGGGTAAATTAATGACAGAAAAGAAATTCCCCATATTTTTTTTCTTTCTATTCAGGCAACCTCTGTAAACTGAAAACACTGCTTAACCAAACAAAATGTGGTAGTCCTGCAGGGGGTCATTTTGCACCCCTGGGGTTGCATTCTTCTCATTTTAGAATACTTCTAGGGCAAGTATTTCTCAAAAAATCATTTTGACAGACTGCTATGCAAAGCGTACAGATCGGATTAACGAGTAATTTCCTCTTTGGAAACTGGTGTCACAGAGTTCCCCACGTCGTGTGGATACGATAGTAAAATACGAAGTATGGATAGGGTTAAGCAGACTCCACTGTGTTTTTAAAAAAAATTGAGATGATTGAGCGTTTGACATTCCAACACAGGATTTTAGGGATATGAAAACCCTTTGTGAATTAGTGTACCAATGTAAATTGTATGTAGAACAGAGATGATGCCCGAAAGTGATAGGAAATAACCAGCCTTACATATGAAATAGATGACACCTTGATAAGATGCAGTTATGAGTTGCATTAGTGTTGAGAATGTTGAGAACATTTTATTTTAACTGCTTTAAAAACTGGGCTACTATCTTTTTCAGTTGAGTGTCCAGTAAAGTCGAAGCTATTGGACATAGTTGTTGTCCAGTCACTGCACACTGCGGTTACGACAGAGAGTGACTTTATGATGACGGCTCGCCATCTTGCTCACAGTTTAGAAGACATGGATTTGCGAGTGGGAGTTGTCTCATACGGAGGGAAAGGAGAGGACCTGGAGCCCAAAGCTCATCTCATCAATGGAAAGTGAGAGAATTCACTTAATTCTAAAGTGAATAAATTAAATTTTCTAAGGCAGACAGTGAGATTTAACCTAAAAATTGTCCTTTTATAGTTAATTTTTCGAAAAGATGGTTGCCTGCTTTATAAAGATCCAGACCATATTGGAAAATGGGGGTACTGAATAAAACTGAAATCTGCTGAAGGGTAAGTAGGCGAATGTCATGTTGACTCATGATCGTATAAGATTATGAATAATGAAAGGTGGAAGCTCATTCCACATTTAAGGAGTCTTGCAACATTTTTTAATGAACAGAAGGTTTCTTTAATCTTGTACTACACTTTGTCTTCATTTACATTTCAATGGCTGGATGCAAGGCTCTGATAAATGTCATTTTACACTTAAACATTTGTCAGATTTTTTGCACCTTGCCATTGATTTTTACTTGATAATCAAACAAGAAATGCCTTCCCTACTTGAAATTGCACACTATTTTTGTAAGAGACTGAGGCAAAGACGTATAAAGGTTTTTTTTTTACTTCTGAGCAACTAATGAGTAATAAGTTCAAATGAAATTTCTTTAGTGATGTACTGATACGGATAGTGGTTTGTCTGAGAACATGTTAATTGAATGTTAGTTGAGCTTGTTACCTTTTCATGTATGGTTTATGTTGTCACTTCGATGTCTTCAATTTGTGTCATGTTCTTTTTTTTACTGGATTGCCTGAAATGTTATTAAATTTGTTTTGCTCATGTTCATTACCATGACAGGTTGTTTGAGAGAGCTGGGAAGATGCGAAAACCACAGAATGTGTCAATTCAGGGAGGAGATTTGGCAACAAACGCTTCTGATGCCTTGAAAATTGCAGCACAATACCCATTCAGATCCCAAGCTACAAGAGCTGTAGTTCTTGTCCACCCTTATGAGGTTAGTACATCTCTTCCATACTCTATGAGTTCACACTTTAAGAATAATTTGTTGTGCATATTATATGCCTGCAGGCGCATGTGCTCATACACATGCACAGACACGTACACAAACACACATTCATGCTCTCACTCATACACTTACATACCCTTTGACACTCAATAGTTTTTCTTCCTCAGAGCACCAGTAGGTTGTTTGTTTCTTTTTTAAATCTGAATATGGAGTCTTAAAGTAAAATGAAAATGGATTTAATTAAAGATTTTTCCAGTTCATATGTCTTTGAAGAAAAAACAAATGTGCTTGTTGACATTGTTCTTTTATTACTCAACACGGTTGATTTGATCTGATAAAGAAGTCAAAAGTTCTTTTTGTATTATATCCTGTAAAGTTTCTGGGACTTATCCTCTCTGACACAATTTATGAGGGGAAAAATCAGCTGCTGTTGTGGACAAGTTGATTTAGGTGCTCAAAATGCATAAGCAGCGGTTTAGTTGCTGCATGGACATGTCTGTAATGATAAACATAGACAAAAACTTGCATAAATGTTTGTAGCACAAATCCCTGCTTGAAAGAAGACTTTCCTTTTTTTACAATTTACCATTGTCTGGATATACTCTGGAACATTCCAAAACATTATCAGCTTTCTGGGAAGCATTACGACACAAAATGTCATTTTAAACACCAATTCTGGATATACTCTGGAACATTCCAAAACATTATCAGCTTTCTGGGAAGCATTATGACACAAAATGTCATTTTAAACACTAATTCTGGATATACTCTGTAACATTCCAAAACATTCTCAGCTTTCTGGGAAGCACTATGACACAAAATGTCATTTTAAACACTAACATACTGATCTGATAAAAACTTTCATTGTCTTAGCCAAGAATCCAACAGGGTGAAGTGAGGAACATTTTTGTAAACCATCTTTCCTGTGGACGTCACATCGAACTTCAAGGGAGAGTTGAGGCAATTATCTTATGGTTGCAAGTCTAGCAGTCTCGCCTCTGGATTACTGACACTGCATATACTACATATATATATACATTAGCCGTCATAGATTTATATTTACATATATTTTTTTCATACTCTTATGCTTATCATTGCAGTGGAAATGTCCTGAAGAAGACAATGAAGAACTGACAGCGCTATTCAAACAAAAACATACTGTTCTCATAGCCTCTGCAAACTTTCCTGAATTTTCTGACGACAAAGTTTTTGGCCTTTGGTCCAATGGCAAAGTAATTGGGAAAGGAAAACATGTCAACCCCCCTAAGGTAAGTACATTCTTTTATGTATCTGTGTTGTGCCTCATCATTTAGGTTTGGAGTGTGGCAGCATCCCCTGTAAGTAAAGTATTTTACAATCTGTTTCCTTATTACAACACAAATTCCAATACTTAAGAAGCATCACCATCACTTTGAGTATTTTAAGTCACTAGTAAGTTTAGTAATTTTAAAAGAAAAATGTGTTTTGTTTGTTGTTGAATTAAATTTTTTTTTTAGATTTGCATTCACGTCTAGTACTTAATTCGCTTTGCAAAGAGTATTGTAAGGTCTACCACTTTGCTTCTTTTTTCTCCAAAAAGTCTTCCTCTCAAGGTTAATTAAATGTATATTGATGGTAATAGGAATGTATTTTATATTTTGCACGTCTAGTTATATAATTGAAGTTAGATGTATTATAGCAGTACCCAAAAAATCTCTTGCACATCCCCCCTTTGTCCCATACATTTCCTATATTCCTACAACGAGTACATTTGAGTTCATCTTGCGAGACAAAATCTGAAAACACATGTAAGGATATACCTTAGACTGTTTTTTTTCTTCTCTAATTTCAAGGAAAGTAGGATGAACGAAGTGGTATAGACAGCTAGTGAAAAGTTCATTAAAAAATATTATTTTTGAAAGTTAGTAGTGATCAGACCACACAGGCCACAGTTAAGCACTTGCAGTCTTCACATTGATTTTAATGAGCACAATAAAATATAAGGGGGTTAGTTTGTGACAACAAAATTTTGCTATTTCTGTACCAGTTACCTCTTTCAGACCCTACACAAGTTGAAAAAAACCATTTGTGTCACGATGCCGTGGAATCAGGTGCTCATTAATATTTGGCCACGTGCAGTTATTGGTAATACCTGAAAGTTTGTACATTTGCCTTGTTTTCAACCCCCTAAAAAAGTTGAGATATTTGCGTTTGAAGCAGGTGGGGTCGCCTGATTTCAAAGGAAAAATTACCGAGAAAATGGCTGTCAAAGTTAGGTGACTTCCAAAGCTTGAGAGTCTTTGCAAACTGCAAAATTATATTTTTTGTGACTTTAACAACATTTTACAGTAAAATCCAAACATTGTTTTTTAAATGGAAGTACAAGGTAGTGAGCCCCCCAAAAGATTTGATAAAAATGGTCAAAACTGCGTAAAAATGCCAGTTTCTTCAATTCTATAATTTTGCCAAGTGCCCAATTTCCCCACGCTGCCTCACATTTTATTTCCATTTGCCGTAACTCATTAGCTACGCCGAGCCGTGGGGGGGGGGGGGGGGCGGCGCGGCTAAAGTGGCGTCAGTACGCTAAGCCGCCCCCGGCAGCTCGAGAACTGATCTTCAATTTTAGCTTAGATTCTATTCCAATCCACATATCCATGTTAAAATAAAGGTCATAATATAATGTTGACTTCCGGGTCAAGTATTTCCACTGAAAATCGGAAATTTAGATCGAAGGGGCTAGACGTACTTAAGTAGACTGCCAGTCTAGCCGTACTTAGATTTAGGTTTGGCCCTATCGACTCAAGCCTGTTAAGTACACAGGTCTCATTAGATCTAGATCTAGTAATTATTCAAGTTCAAATACATGCAAGTCAGTAAGGCACCTTTTGGTTTTGTCTGAAATACAAATACTTTAGGCATTGCAAACTAAAAATTTCATTTACAATTCAGCCATCAATATTAAGTATGGCTAGCCTGACAGTCTAGCTGTCCTTAAGTACGGCTAGCCTGGCTGTCTACCCGTACTTAAGTACGGCTAGACTGCCAGTCTAGCCGTACTTATCTTAGGCCCTATTAAAACATTAGAAAACAGGAGGGTTAAAATACATGCACTTTCATTGAGGCACCTGGTTTCGTCTCAAATACAAATCTAAAGTTTAGGTACTGCACACTAAAAATGAATATTTACAATTAAGTAGGCCTATTTTTTGTAAATGGTCAGTCTAGCCATCATATTAAGAATAAATACGTTCTTAAATATGGCTAGACTGCCAGTCTAGCCGTCATTAAGTACGGCTAGCCTCTTCCAATTTAGATTCAGTTTTGAAACGCGATTTCGTAGTTTATTCGATTTTGTTTTATCGCGATGCCAGAATTATAGCCCGGACACCAGTCTTAGTAATTTTAAACAACAAAATCTATCATTATTTTGCCCACTAAAGAAATGTAGGACTCTTTTTTATAATATTGATACAATTGGACTCATATTGCCAATGCACTGTTATTGAGAAATCAATATTTTTGAGTGCTAGATCTAGGTCTAGATCTAAATTGTCAAAATATTTTTTTCTCCCCAAAATCACTACTTTTTAATGAAATTACACAAAAAGTGCCACTCAAGACATGTATAGATTTATTCCAAATGCAATTCTTAATAATTCCATAAGATACGAGTGGGTTTTTTTCTGTTTGTGATCGTTTTTCAAGATTATTAATTTTTAATTTTTTTTTCAATATCGGATGTTATGTTCAAAATGTACAAATATTATGGAATGTAGGTAAATAACTGCAAACTTTTCGATATTTTCCAGTTCTATATTCATTTATGGTTATATTGATGTTTCATTTGACTAGGTGCAAACATATTTTCTGATTTTCACCAAAGATTATTATTTTTTTATTTTCAAATTTTATCTGCATCCAATCAAAATTGTGTTGCATAATCGTGTCTTACCGGAACCAAAGTTGAAAAATACATAAATAAACATTACAGATGTATTCTACAAACCATACTGAAAATGTTGGTATATAATAATATGTTGATATTTATTTGAATTTGTGGCCCCAAAGACCTTTTAACTGCCCACTAGTCATCATCTCATTCGCCCTCAAGCCGAAAATAATACGTAGCGAATGAGTTAACAAAAGCAGTTTTGTTCCTTGTGATCAAATAAAAATGAAATAAAAATACTGTTTTAATCATAATTTCATGTTCATTACATGGTCAGATAAATAGTGTTTGAAGTGAAATGGATAAACATTTGGCTTGTTTGTTTTTGGTTGTTTTCAGGATGATTACAGTAAATTAGTGAAGTCAACTGGTGGAATGTGGTTGGACCTGGGCATTTTACATCATGGTCAAGGATACAAAATGAAGTACATTACAAAAAGCGTGCGGCAACTGTGGAAACGAGACTACTTGGGCTGCAGTCCCTAAAACTTGGTGTTGAAATTTGGCCAACCGATTTGTGTTCTCTTCTCCGAGGTGTTGTCTTGGCATTCCTGGGTTGTTGTTTTTGTTTTTGGAATAATTTTTGTTTTGTATTTTGGGGGTGAGACATTGGAGTAAACATTAATGTTTTACTTGTTGTTTTTTTTTAGCCTTGTTTTGAATTTTGAAACTTTCGTTTTGAGGAGGATACTGTTATAATATTCCCCAGCTGTTTTTTTTAAAGGAAAGTTTATTGCTCGATGTTGTGAATAAGGAAAGCCTAACTCGTCACATTTTAAAATTATCTATATAGTCCTGGTCTTTAAGATAAAATTTACCCCCCAGGGCGGTGCTGAAGTGTCTTTAGGCCATTGCCAAAGGGGGGGACATTAAACATGTCTTATGCACAGTAGAATTGTAATTGTAAATGGGCTGATTCATCAGTGTCATGCTCATAACTGTGCCTGAACTGCAACAGGGAACTGCTCCTTTTTCTTTCCTAATCCTTACTATCGTCGTTTTTCCTCTATTTCTTTTGTTTGTTTATCACACTCTTGTGACCCGCTATTTCCGGGGTGCCTTGATCGTTGAAGAAGACCTTGTGCTGTTGAAGCTAGAGAGGTGAGCAGAGTTGGCCTGATTCCTTGTAAAGTCTTCTCAATTGACATCCTTCTCTTGGCGCTCATATGGCCTTATGCAGTTGCAAACGCCATAAAACCTCTACTAAAACAAAGATGCAACTTTATGTGTTTATATTAGATGTGTCTGTGTTTTTCCATGGAAAAGTACATGTAGCAGTGTCTATAAACTTTTCTTTACCTCAAGAGCATTTGAAGGGCACATTTTTTTACCTGCAATTATATATTAAAGGAATGAAATGTAAGAATTTTACCAGCTCATCATGTCAGTATGTTTTTCAAGGTAAAATGAAACTAGCAATCATGATTGATAATGTTTTCTAACGGGTGTATAGGAATTTTATTCTCTCTTTTCAATTTTCTTCTTCTTCGTCTTCTTCTTCTTCTTCCTCCTCCTCCTCCTCCTCCTCCTCCTCCATGCACACACACACACACACACACACATGCACACACACATGCACACACTCACACAAAAATACATACGTGCATACCTACATACTTGCTTTCATACATGCACACATACACACTAAACATACACAATATATACAACCACACATATTTGCACACAAACACAATCACACACACAACATACTCTTTATAATTAGGCCTGTCAGTCTCAGCAGTAATGAATGACAAAGGAAGACATTTGTTTGGTCTTTTTTTATTGTTAAAGCCACTATACAAGACCTTGATATTCAGTACAACTTGTCCCCCAAAGATGTTATTGAAAGTGACAAGAACGGGAGCAGCAAAGAACAAAACAAAACAAAACCACAGAAAAACTTCACAATTAATTTGGTCGAATATATAGATAATTTCATTTTGTAACAAATAACTTTATGTAACTTATATGATCATTGATTTTACTTTTTAAAAAAGTTTACCCTGTAAAATGGAAACCTGAATTATTCTATTGATTTCAGAATATCATAAAATTATGTCAGTCAGTATTGTCTGACCACAGAGGGGTGTTTATCTTATTGTTGTGGCCTTCATCACAAGGCAGGGAGAAATAAATAAACATAAATGGCAGGAAATATGAATACATTGTGTTATATAAGCTAGTACATGCTACGCATCCCAGCAATGAAACTAGTAAAATTCTCTAATAGTAATAGTCATGTTGACCTAAAAAAGCCTAAGCATTATATTTCCTCCCTCTTCCTCCTGAGAATGTATATGGACAGTTTTGTCAATGGGCAATACCATTCACATTATTATATGCTTTTTTTCATCTCTCTTAAACTGTTATTGAAATAATGCAGTATAGCCAAGTTGTTCTTTGTGTAATGTTCTACATCTGGTAGATGACTTTTTTTCATGTAAACTTTCTTTATTTTTGTATTTTTAAAATGAGAGACTAGCTCTCTGTGCTGCTGATGTATGGAAATATTATTGTGTGCAGAATTATTTGTTGAGTTTAAAATATGATATGTCTTACTGTAACATGCTTTTATGCTTACGACAAAGGGAAACCATCCCTGAGAACATACACATAGGAAGGACAGGGATATAATAATGAAACTTTTTAAAATGCTGTCATCATTTTATCATTATCATAAATGTTCTTTTAAAAACTTCATTGTACATCCATATCCATTGTTAAGGGAAATAAACTTTTCAAATAAGTAATAGACTCATCTCGTTATTCCTGATCCACCATGAGTATTTTCTGTCAATTGACATTAAAAGGAGTAAAGGGAGGAAACGCTTTTAAAGCAAAATGGGGACTGGACTGATACTGATTGGAAATTTTAAATGTCGTGAAAATGATGTGGGTACCGTAATCTCTTCTTGTCAAGGATTCATTTGGTTTTGCATTTATTCCCGCCAGTTGTACCATGCTGGTGCGTGGTCCTCAAAGTTCTGTGACTCATTCACTCCACTCACGAGCACAGTGGCGGGGAAGGAACGGGGACGGTTGGGATCCTCGATGGGTTTCGCATCCGTAGACACGTAGCGGATGACGTAGCCACACCTGTGTTGGACAAGGAAGATATTGTTGAATGGTCATTACATTATTTGGTCGCTTTCATTTTAGGGACAAGCGGGCTAACCCAGATTCCATGGGTTTCCAGAAATCTTGATCTACACCATAAGTGGGCATTGACCTACCTATAGGAGAAGTTTGGTTTCACTGGTGTGTATATTTGTTTGGTTACAGAGAAAAATCTCCTTGTCTTTTAATATAACTGAATAAGGGTCCAAAAACTTTAACTTTGATTTTCTCAAAACAGCATTTTTCGGGATATGGGTAGACTTGGGAAGTTGTCATTTGTTCAGGTGATTAAGTCTTGGACAGGTAGCGGCTGGAGTAAGTTCGTTTGTGAAGCTGTGACAATTTACCCACTTCTGGACTACACAATGATAAACCTTTGAAGTGCTACCCTTTTACAGGATAAAGCAGTTAGAATATATAGAGTGGATGAAGCTAGAGCCAGAATATAATTTTTTTTAAATGGAAGTAGTAGGCCTACATACCGTGAGGCACAGATAACGCAAACACGGACAATGCAAAATCACATATATCTCGTGCAGTTTGCCTTTCCATTATAACTGACATCTCGTTAATTTTTCGTTTTCAGTCAACCGGAATTATGGATCTATCAAACACACATAAAAATATGTCAATCCCTAACGTGTTTGAGAGGACTGTAGTTCCCATAGGAATTTCAATTTTTACTGATGGTATTATAATTATACTTTCAGTGTCGATATGATGCATCCTGTGTGCCCACTCTGATTGAAGATAGAAATGTCAAAACTTGACAATGACAATGAGAATCTTTATTCATCTCGCAGGGAGAAATTTGTCTTAGTCGTTAACAATGGCAGTAGACGTTACAAAGATTAGGTGTACTCACGCTTACATTCACAACAAGACAGGACAATAGTAAATACACAACAACCCGCTCCATAAAACAATATCTCTCTCTCTCTGTCTCTGTCTCTTGTCTCTCTCTGTCTCTGTCTCTTGTCTCTCTCTCTCTCTCTCTCTCTCTCTCTCTCTCTCTCTCTCTCTCTCTCTCTCTCTCTTTCTCTCTCTGTTTCATTTGTAGCACTGTGTGTTCAGTAACATCACTGCAGTTGGTACAAATGAATTTCTTTCTGTCTGTTCTTGCTTTTTGGTTAATGTATCGTTTAATGCGGGTAGATAGTTGAAATTCCAATGTCAGTAGGTACTATGGTCACTAAGCATTATTTCCGCCTTATTTAAAACGTTTGTTTTGTGCGGATATTCAAAGTTACTTAGGTCTCTAACAATTGTTCTTTGGTGCCTTTCTGAACTTGCCTTCTCCTGTTAGAGCGGTTGGTCCCACTGCCATGCACAAGGTGGCCATGATGAAGAGACATCTGGCCTGCCTTCAGGGGGCAGAATTCCGCCTTACTGATGTCGTACAGATTTTCAGGGATGGCCTGGTTTGAGGAGAGTAAATTCCCTTCTTTTGATTCTATCACATGCTCCAGGATACCACTTTTGTGAGTGCCTGAGGAATGAAGAATGACAGATAAATGTGAGTAAGTCTTCAACTGACTCATCAACGTATCTGAAAATATTTGAGAATGTCTTCCTCTTTAAACGACTGCTCAAGAAACCTTTATACATAATTTTGTATATCCTACATAAAAGAAAAAAAACAGCATCCATTAAGAAACTACATACCGTCTCTTTGTTTTGGAAACACAAATGCTTACAGCAGAAATAAAAGAAGAAAAAAAGATCTGAACACCTTTCATCAATAGAAGGCAAAATATATATATCCCCTGCCCCCTATAAAAAAAGATGTTTGTAGCTTTTCTTGAAGTTTCTTGAAATAAGCTGACGACAGTACACCACACCCTGAAGCAGGGACTTTTTTTCAACGAGCAAGTTAAGAAACCAAAATGTATGAACACTTTGCCTTTAAGAATGGCTCCCTCAAGTCAAAATAGTTGTTTATTTATTTATTTATTTATTCATTCTTTTATTTATTTATTCATTGTTTGTTTGTTCATTCATTTATATATTCTTTTATCCATTTATTTATTCGTTTATTTATTTTAGTTTGAATTCTGTGCTTTAGTTGATTCTAAGAGCGGAGGTTCATTATACTAGAGTTGTTCTTGTCTTCCCATCTTGATCCTTTCCACAACTATAAGAACCAAACGACTGAGGTGAGTTTTACGCTCACCCTTATATTTGATCATCTTCAGAGGCAGCCTTCTTATTTATTCCGTCAAGGAGTTCTTTTTAAAAATATTGTAAGTGTTTTTACGCCCCCAGCGAGAGAAGTAGGTCATTTAGGAGACAAGCTTTGGCCCTGCTAACCTGGGCAGATGAGAGTGCGTCCCAGGAGATACAGCGAGATACTCCATTCAAATTCTTCTCTCACAATTTATTTGTTTATTTATTTATTTATTTATTTATTTATTTATTTATTTATTTATTTATTTATTTATTTATCTTACTTTGAAATTCTGTGCTTTAGTTGATCCTGAGAGCGAGGTACTCAGTAAACATTCTCCCCACACAAGAATAGATCACAGGCATGTTGTGTTCTGGCTGCGATGGTGAAGTGTCTAACCGATGCACCACAGACGCTGGTCACCCAAGGAAGTTAATGTCCTTGTGGTCAGCCCAAAGACTTATCAGCATCTCAGCCGAATTGGAGTAAAGCAGTCTGCTGCCTGCCCACTATGTGACTACCCCTCAGAGACAGTGGAACATCATCTGTTCTGTTGTAGAAAACTAACCGATCTGAGGGGATGTTTTCTTCCCAAGCTACCCCACACATCTAACTGCCTCTACTCCTCAAGACAACAATTAAAACAGATATGCAGCTATTACAGAATGGCATCATGCAGAAGAGTTAACGCTCAGATGCTACTACGGATCGCTAACAACAGCAATAACAACCACAACAACAACCACAATATGTCCATTGTGCAGCGAGGAGCCCCAAGATATGGAGCACTGGCGACAGAGATGTCCGCCACGGAGGTCCGGCGGTGGCATCTCTTTGGGGAGGATTCAGGGAGGTTTAACTGCCTCACCCGCTACCCAAGGGAGGCGGTAGCCCTGGCGAAGAGCACGCTCTTCGGGGCTCCAAACATTTCAAACAGATAGTCTACCACACACACACACAACAACAA